TTTTTACATTCAAGCGACTACAGGCAAAATATACTGTTTCTACATTCAACAGCCAAGAAAGCTAGCTGACTTGTGCCGCCATGGAATATAGAATCACTTAAAAAAGAAAATATCGCGGGTGTTAATAAATGATTGTGTTGTGTGGTATCACTAAACATCTATAGCCCAAAATCATCCCAAGTAATATTTTTTCGTTAACAGCAGTATTTGCGCATGACATGCCAAGAAAACCTTAGCATTCTCTCCGTATAGCAAACTCAATAAAAGCCAAATTAACATTAATCTGTGATTCTTCCCCTGGGAGACGTGCGGAAGCAATTAATGTCCGCAGTTTTGAGGGAGGGATCTTAAAATTTACTGGGTTGAAATTATAGGTAGAATACTAGTTATTTAGAAGCCTTTGCACCCCCCCACCCATTGCCTTTTTCGGGTGGGGGGGATGAAAATAATTGTAGTAAAGTAATTCTTCGATAAAATAAGCTGCCTTTCAATTTTTTTATGTAATTCAATTTCAAAATATTTTTTCTCACTACAAATTAATTGACATCGGGTAGTTGTGGAAGTACCGCGCGTAGAAATATAGATAAAAGTGTACCAAATTTCCGGAAGTTTACATCATTTCCTGGTTGAACAAGATGGAGACGAGTACTGAATGGGTAGACGTTACCCGATTGGCTATGTATATATTTTCTTTTTAAAGTGAATATTTTCTTTTGATTGTTTTTTTTTCTTATTTTCTTCAGTCCATTTTTTTTTCAAATAAATTTTGGTAGCAGTGCCTCTGGCATTTTACGTATTTTGTAAAAAAAAAAAAAAGATTTTTGACAGTAACTTTTTAGGGTATGTGTACCACTTCCTGGGGTAGAAGTTTATTTTTTCTTTAACTAAGAAAGCTTAAAACCTAGGATCCACCCCCAGAAGTCTGCTGCCGTAAATTGTCTTGCTGGCGTTTTAAGAATATGGGTGATGTGCATCAATTACACTTTTATTGACTCCATCGCTGTCGAAATCGGACGAGATTTCTTGGCATGAAATGAGGGATTCCTAAATAGAGATGCTCCCTATATCCCGAATTCTCATTGGTTGTCCCAATATATAATCAAAGTACTGAGACAGTACTGAAAGACGGGGTCAAAATAATTTTCATGCTAGATTTCACAAATGTAAATTTTTTAAACGAGTTTTGAACATTTTTTGAAATAACAAACTAAAAACAAAACTGTGAATAATATAAATTCGCGTTTTTCATTTAAGTCTAGAAACCTTTTAAAATTGTCCGAATTTCACCTGGTCCGAATTAATATTTCTCCGGAAGTAAACAATGGATGATGCGTACGCAGTTGTAATACTACGCAGGAGAGTACTTTGTTTACTATAGTGTGTTTTACAATTAATATTTTGAGTTTACGTTTACAAAATGCTTCATTAATTTCATTTATAAAAAAGTTCTTATCACTTTCTTCAGTTTGATATAGAATGCTTATATTTTGATCAAAACAATTTCTGCACTCTTTCATATAGCGTAGATTTAATTCATGTGTTATCACCACGGCTTCCTTTTTGAGGGCTCGGACAGTAAACTAATAGACGGGGTCACGTGACCCCGTCTAAAAATCGATCGAGGTCAGTAAACATGGCGGCTAAATTCAAGTTGTGATTTTAACATACATGATAAATAACAGATACGTGGATTCTTTTGTATGCATAACTACATTTTTGGAGTTCAGGTAAGTAATGTTCATAAAATATGACCATTTACTGATAATTTGAACCAAATCTACGCGGAAGTTAATCACTCCCGCGCTTGCACCATTGCGGAGATCATAAGGAGTTGCATGTAGCCCTCTCCCAACAAAAGAAAAAAGGAGAGGGTGACATTATTGCAGCTCAGTGCCCCCCTTTTTTATGCCCCTGGATCATAAGATCCCAAGGTATATTGTTTTTACTTGTCTGTTTGTCTATTGTAAACTTTAACCTAGCCCATAACTATTGCGCTGTCAAGGGTAAGGCTTTAATATTTTATACAAGTGTCCAATATGACAAGACTGTATTACCATCGGGGGGGGGGTAGTGTTGCACAAACACATGTATCTTGTTTTTGGACGTAACTTTTTACAACAGAAAATGTTCATCGAAAGTCCCGCTCCGGTTGGCCCCGTACTTTAATTAGTTTTTTTCTGGAAAAAAAAGATGCAACGTACCTATAAGTGTTACACACATAAGCTACTTGAAGCGGAGCTCTTACACATGTACGTCTTTATCAAATATATTTCGGGATTAAGCAGTACTAGATTTACCGACTGCCTTTTGAAATGCTACTTCCTGTAAAAAAAAAAATAATAAGGAAAAAACGAAAACGATGTTGATAATAAAACATTTAGTACCCACTTAGTTCAAACAAAAGATATCTATTTATATTAACAAATTTTAATTCGCAAAGTATATTCTAAAAAAAAGTCATAAAAGGTAAGGTCGGTATATGATCATGTCACCATGGGCATACTTTTAATAAAAGTGTTATGATGCATGCTGACTTTCTAACTTTGGCAAGAGGAATTTTAAAAGGCAGATCAAGAAGGTTTAAAGTAGTCATAAAGGAGATCACAATCACTGCCCCCTTTCGCAGCTTGTTCAGTATGTCAACAACCAAGTTGAAGACAACAGAAAGTGAAACTAAGCATGCTAGTAAGGATGGCACGACTAGCCCTCTCCTAACAACCCCAGAACCCGCCACATCCAAGAGAATAACCAGAAATGCTCATCACGATGCTGTGTTATCTGACAAAGGTAAAACAATATCATTTAAAATTAAAAAGAAAATATTAATTATTTAGAAGGTTGCTACACTTATATTACACACCTTTTGTAAAATTCTCAGTTGGCCCGTACCCTGCATGTGCACCTGACATTTAAGTGGGTGGATGCATTTCTGGCAGATGAACATTTTTGAACATGTTGAAGACTACTTTAATTCATAATTTTAATATCATCATATTAAATTCAGAGTTATCTCCCATTGTCAGTGCAACACACTTTTTAGCTCACCTCAACAAAGTGGGAGGGAGGTTATCAAATGGTAGCTACAGACCTGTAGCTTGTTGGTCTGAAAAATTGGGATAGATGACCAGAGAGCTACAGTGCCACCCATAGAAAAAACTGTACAGTTATTTGACCAGTTCCGAATAAGAAACCGATTCGATGATGCTACAAATATATTAGGAATTATTTCAAAATCTAAGTGTTTTGTCAAGGTAGTTCGATGACTTGTGGAATTAAATATTGTTTCATAAAAGTTCAGCCTACCCTCAAAAAAATTTATTTCGCAGGTTACCATATGTGTCCATTTTACCAGTTACGAATAAGCCGACGGGTTCCGGATACCCTAGAGATTCTTATTCAATTCAACCCTAAATTTAAAAATATACGTCCCAAACGTTATCCATTGGCATGCCTAAGAAAAGTTAAATTAATTGCTTACCAATAAATTATTTGTATTTCCAAAGGTTGAAGAGAAACTAGAGGTACTGTGGGCACTGAGCTCATTTTAATGATACCCCACGCCTCCTTTATGATTATTTAGGACAAAGTCCATGTTTTACTCTGGGAGACCCGAAATAATTGTCAGTTCAAAAAGTAAAATAATAGGTCACAATGTCACAATGCTATAAAGAATATGTGAAAGTATCATTAAATCTTATTCAGTGGTATAGGAGGAATTGCGGACAAGAGATGGATATACCTTTCAATATTACAAAGAATGGCAGTATCTATCTATTTCTCAGGGAGCCCAAATTATGTACCAGATCCAAAAATAAAATAGGTGCACTTTGGCACTGTTAAACAAAGATTCTGTGAAAGACTCATTAAATTCTGTGAAGCCTCATTAAACTTCATTCAGTGGTAGAAGAGGGATTGCGGATAAGAAATGGATACCCCAGAGCATATCAGACGGACGGATGTACAGCTAGACGGACGGACAGACGTACAGACGGTTGGATGGACAAACATCCCCTTACTCTATACCGCTTCTTCCTGTTTTTCAAGCGGGGGTAGAATAAGTCACGTTTACAATGAAGAAAACATCGAAGAGTGAATTTATAATAGTGTTTAAAATGGGTATTTGGAACTGGTAAAATAAGAGCACGAAAATATTTCGATATCTTCCAGTGTTCTAAACATTTATTTTTGACAAGTTTTTAGTATATGTTAGAGTACATATCAAACTTACTTTTGATACCTAGAATGTTGTTTTATGTGAAAAATTTATGCATCTACAGAGGTTTTTCTGCAGACTTACACGTCGCGGTGATTCAGATTTGTTGCACTGTAAAAGTATGTCGACTGTTTCAAGTACGAAATCGAAACCAAACTGAGGGCAAAAAATCAAAACTTCACACAATTCAAACACTCATGAATAAGCCTTCTTACCATAGAAATCAATTTATTTTTACACCGTTGAATTTATTAATTATCAGTCCTTAAATTACTAATTTTTCGGAACTGGCCAAAATCCGGAACTGGCCAAACGACTGTATATTTATTGCACACAATAAGTTGCACTCATTTTTGGATTAATTTCTCCAAATTCTTACCTCAACTGTACAAAAGCTCAATTTCAAAACATTCCTTTGACCCTATCGCCTATACTTTAATATTTTATGTCTGCATGGAGTGCTTTGAACCTAATTATCTTGCCATCCAAAATGGCAAGGTACACAATGCAGAATTTTCAAAAGTTTCCGTTTTAATTTAAGGAATGTTTTGTTGTTGAAATAGTGCAATAATTCCGTTATCATGGTTATGTTGGGAACACACAGTTAGTAGTATTTTGATATGGAGGTTTGAAAAACACGGAGAAAAAAATTGAAAAACAGCTCACTTTTTTGTGTGCAATAGATATACAGTTTTTTCAATGGGTTGCACGGTAGCTCTCCGGTCTGTCAATATATTTTTTTCCCCGGAGAACTGCAGTTCTGCAGCTAATTAAATGGCATCGGTGTCAGCATCCCAGGTAAAAGTTCTTTTCAAGTACTTCTTTGCCAATAATTTTTTGGAGCACTGGTTAAAGTTTTTTAGCAGGTTTAATAGAGTTTTGGAGTAGATCTCATTGCCAAGTAACTATTAGCCCTGTATATTGTAGTTGTACTGAATGATACAGTCTTAAGGATGCACACTACTGAACTTGCTTTGGATGCTGGATCTGACCTAGTACATTTTCCAGATAAGTGAACAAGTTAAAGATTTTGTAGCAGATCTTAATTATTTCCAAGTACAATAAGCCCTCTGTTGACCAAACTTGCATGGATGATACACTTACCACACTACTGAACTTGCTTTGGATGCTGGATCTGATCTACATTTTCCAAATGAATGACCAGGTTAAAGTGTTTAGAGCAAGTCCTTTACCAAGAAATTACCAGGTCCAGTACAATATCTTGATTTAGCTATATAGCTTTAAATAGCTATATAGCTTTATTAAGCTATTCAAAATAGCTTTATTTAGCTATTTATGTACAGTTTTTCACAAAAATGTTTTTTGCTGAAAATAAACAAAACGTAGCATGTATCTGACTCTACGTATTTGTACTATGGGCTATCAAAACAACAACCTAAATCAAAGATAGTTCTAACTTTGCAGCTTTTGAATACTTTTAAGCAAAAAGAAAATTTCTGTTGTTAGACTAACTGTCTACTACCTTGGTGCCTTGAGGCAAGGATAAGTATGATCGTTTCTCATTGTGCTGAACTGTTACCAATCAATTATCTTGTTGAACATAATTGGACTCCATTACAATATCATTGCAGAAGTAACTGTATCAATTGCTTTATATAGCCCCAAAACTTGTAGAACTTTGAGTACAAAGTCTCTCAAAGAGATGTAATTTGATGAGTGATTTTTACATGCATTATTTTAAGAAGAGTTCAAAGTTGTATATCGTCACTGCACCAAGGTGCGCTTTTTTGTACATACTGAGAAAATTACACCTTTAAGAAAAAAGTGTAGTAAAATAGCTAAATTAAGCTATACTGAATAGCTTAATAAAGCTATATAGATATTTAAAGCTATATAGCTAAATCAAGAGATTGTACTGGACCTGATTACCGGGGTATAAGGGATATCTGGACCAAACTTGAATAGATGGATTTGATGCAACACAATCAAAAGAACTGATTCACTGCAATTAAATTTAGTCCGCATTTGTAAAATTAGCGAGAATCCGATATATACGATCTATCCAAATTCTATGTACAGTTTTATAAACACGTGTTGTTTGTTTTTGAGTGAATAATAAAAAACCTGGATGCATGCAACTTGTGTTCCTCAATATTTCCTACAGGCAGACCCACTGTACAAATATTGACCTCACCATTGAAGTAATAAATTGTGCATTAAGGGGAGACAGGACACATGTCACATGACTAAAAAGACATATCACATCATAGTCGGTGATGATATACATGTTAAACGTTGTTAAAATCAACAGCTCTTGTGTAATTTTATTCTAAATTCTAAAATTGTTTTTTAAACATTTAATTTTAGAAATTATTATTAATAGAATTTTTAAAGATCTTACCATCATTTAGATATTGTGAAGTTGCCCAATCCACACATTTGTTTCTCTTTACCCTGCAGTCTGACTTCAGTGACGTCATAGACGTAGTGTTTGAATTCTCAGTGCAGCAAGATCAAGTTCACACTCCCGTCATGATCAGTTTTATTTCATAATAAACAGGTCACAGTCAATGTATCGTGATAAATTTCTGAAGCAGATTTTTTAAAATTAATATTTTTTCGTGTTTAGTAGCAGAGATTCTCTCTATTTACGTAATTTTGAATGTTTATATTTTCGTGTGACGTCACAATTGATTTCCCGCACTCGGAAAATACAAACGTGAAGCGTTTTTATCATGCTTACGTCTAATTCAACAATGTCCTGTGCGATATTGAGGTAAGCTTCACCCTGTGATATTTATGCAGTAAATAATCATGATGAAGGACTGACATTCAATCGTAAATTTAGAAATATTTATTGACAGATTTTTTTTCAAATGAGGTTTTTGTCGTTGAAGCTGCCTTGAAAAATGCAGAAATTATCCCACCCAAATACTATATAAAATTAAAACAATTGCTTTCAGATAATTTAAAAATTCACATTATGGACTCCATTATGGGCGCGTAAACATGAAGTATCTAAACTCCATACAAACTCTAAACAGGGAGGTATTTGTGGGGCGATATCTTTTAAATAAGTCAAGAAATCCCATGACAGGACCATTTTAAAATGCTAAGTACATATTAAATTAGTAATATAAAAAATACGAAAAAAATTCATTCACAGGAATTTTTTCAGCTAAAGGTCCTGTTCCTCCTTAAATTACTGCATAGCCTTACTTAGTTTATTGAAAAACATTTCATTTGCATTTAGTTTAATTACTTCACATTAGCTGTTGTATGAAGTGTGAACACAATTTAATTCGCAAGTTTTGAGGTAAATCCACTCTCTAGTAACTGCAAGCCCAATCAGACCAAAATTGCACAAAGGTGATATTTATAGGTATGCACACTATTAGGTTAATAGTCAAGTGTGGGACTTTGCCTTACTTAAAGACAATATTTGTTTTGATGAGCTCTGTAATCTCTGAATTTCACAATATGGGTCAAAAACATTTTTCATGTGAATTTTTACTTTTTTTAAACATATCTTTTAAGAACAGCAAGACAAATGTAAATCTTGACTTTTGACTTTTTAAAATGGAATTTTGTTGCATTTCAGAAAAGTTTTTAAATATGAAAAAAGAAGAAAAAAGAAAACTATACAAATGTGGGAAGAAATTCAAACAGCTAAATGACATTCCAACATGGCCAGATTTCTACAATGAACACAAAGAGAGGATGAAAAAAGCAGGTTGTTAAAATAAGATTAATTGTTAAGAAATGACATTATACATTTATTGACCGTATTCTTGGATTTCGTGCATTTGTCAGACCCCAGAACCAAACCTACCGTAACTTCCTCTAGCAAACAGTTTGGTTTGAGGGTAAAAAAAAGCGCATTTTTTATGAGAATACAGTCAATAAATATTTTGTTATACCTTTTTTGTGATGCATAAATCTACTGGTCAGAGACCAAAAGCGAATGCGATAATAAGCTATAAGATGTCCGTCATCCATCTGTCTAGCTGTCTGTCTGTCTGTAAACAATATTTCAAAATGCAACTCTTCCTACAGTTTAGTCTGATTTCAATATAACTTGGCAAACAAGTAGACTACACTAAGATACATAAACTAGTGCATGGGTTTTTGATTTGGATGAATGGTGTTGCCATAGTTACTAAAAAGGAAAGTTCTGTGAAATTCCTTAAAATGCTACTCCTACAGTTTTAGTCTGAGTTCAATATGATTTCCGTTAACAGTGTTTCCATGGTTACTTGAAATAGAAAACTCTGTGATATCCCTTTAAACGCTACTCCTCTTAGAGTTTAAGTCTGGTTTTAATATACCCTTGGGTAACTTATTAACTAAGGTACATAATTTTGATGAATCAGTTTTTGTTTTCGAAGAATGTTGTTGCCATGGTTACTAAATACAGAAAAGAATGAATCTTCATAACACTGATATCTCGCCCCTTTTTAAATGCAGAATTTTACCTTTTAAAATCGGAACATTATTATATTATTGCTAAAGTCTTCAAGTATAGTCTGTATAGATATGCATAAAAGTGGTTTTATGAAAAAGACTCTCAACATATACAAGATATCAATAAAATAAAGTTGTATACTTCACTTAAAATCGCAGCTTCGCCATACGGCTATGTAGGTCATTGTATTATTTGAATGAGAAGGCAGAGCGTCCATCAAAGCATGCGATAAAAATGAATACATTAGCGTGTGTTAGAGGTGTACTAAGTTTTATGATTAACTGACACCTAAAACTCCTCTTTTTTAGTGCCAGAGACCGACTAAATATAAACATACATACAGCAATTATTTCATTTGGCAGTTTTTTTCTGCGTAACTTACAATTTATATTTGAAATGATTTATAAGAAATTCAAATATTTATATATTAAATAGACATAGAATTTGTAAACAGAACTATAACGCATGATACACCTTTTCATGCTTTAAAGAAAACTAATTTTTATACAGATAGTCAATCCATTAAAGCTTATATGATTTTGCAAAATTCGAGTGCTACAACCAAAACGATTGATTATGATATGAAACTTCACTCTGTGAAAAAATAAATCAAATCGTAAGAAAATGATAATTAAACATCTCAGTTTATTAACGTCAGTATTATCGCTGCTAGATAAAAAAACATCAGTGTTGCACAGTACAGATTGCATTGTTTAGAAAATCCCGATTATTCATGGCAGAAATGTTAATATTATCTTCCTTATTTAAAAATTCATTAATTATAAAATCGTAAGAAAGTGAAAGTAAAAAAATTAAATGTCAGAATTCATTAGTTGTCAAAATCCACTCACGTATACATATTCATTTTAACAAACTCTCACCTTGTAGTAAGATAAGTAATAAATCACTTCCATAGGCTCAGAACCTGGGATGGGCTTACTGCCCCCCCCCCCCCCTTTTTATGCAAAGATAGACATAATGTAGGCATTGAACATTGGGGCGTAGGTTTACTCCCCCCCCCTCCCCCTTTCAAAGGGTACGTTGCAGTGTACATCAAAAAAGGATAAGTGGTAGATTTTTTAATTGCTTGTTGTTTTTTTTTTAAGGTCTGAATTCTGTTTCTCTTTCAATTACCCTCCCCTCCCATTTAATTTTCAATTTGCTTCGACGCCAATGACTTCAAGATATTTTAATGCCATTTTTAATTCGATTTGATTTTTGCTACTAATATATAAATCTTTAATTATACGATGATCGGACATGGGAAAGGGTATTACAAATGTACTTACTTGCTTTTAAATTTTGTGCTTTAAAAAAACCTGCGGACATTGACTTTCAAAGAAAAGAGCCCCCCCCCTGTATTAAATTTAGGGATGTATACAGGATACAGGTCCTTTTAGCGCTCCATACTTCAATTTCTTTCCCATAAGGTGTCTTTAATTAAAAGTATGCATGCATTTGTGCACTTTTAACCAACAGATCCAGACTGAGATTATTTTCTAAAGATAGGATAAATTGGTATTTTTCAAATAACGCTCTTTTAAATTAATGACAGTTTTAAAAATCTGTAATGATTTCCAAAAGTGAATGAACGTAACGCTGGTACTTAGGAACAAAGGCAAATATATAATATATACCCAGAGTACTTCAAATTTTAAAATTATGTATTAATGATACACAAGCAGTAAGTGCAATAATAATGCTAGAGACCTCCAATATAAAATGATTAATATACCGAAAAAAAAATCAATCAAAATCAACTGAAATAGCTTTTAATAACAAGTAAATCAAAATTCTTAACACATCTTCAACATAAAAAAAGTTTTCTCCCTGAATTTTAATCATTAATTTGAAATGATTTGACCATCGATAGCTCGCAGATACTTGGCACGATGTCACATTGGTCTGCTCAAAGCATGAAAGTGAATAGATTTGAGTCACGTGTTCAGTGCTTTGTTATTCATGAGGTCAAAGACGGGTTAGAATTTGTAGACAAGGTGTCTTTACTGTAGATACAAGTACCCGTGGTTTTGCACTTTTTTGCAAAATAACAATTGAGCGCACAATTGTTTCAATTTCTTTTATTAATGTAAATGACTAGTATAACTCTTCACATTGACCGTATTAAGTACAACATGAAACATCCATGTGCTAATATAAAAAATGGGCTTGCAAAATGGGGGTGTGGCCTAAAGTCTATGAGAAAGCAATGTAAACAACGTACCCCTGCTATATTAATCCAAAAAATTTCCTAATTACAGAGCAAGGAAGTAAAAATCGAAAATGAAATTAATAAACTACAATATCTAATGGATAGATGGAGGCAAAAATATGTAGAAAATCTTAAATCTTATTTTTTGTAAATTATCGGGGGGCCAAATGTGGACGTTTAACTGATTCATCCTTTTTAGAATTAGTTTAAAACACTACTCCTCCTACAGCTTTGGTTTGATTTCAATATAACGTGGCACACATCTAGTGTACATTAAGATATATAAATCTATTTATTGCTGCCTGTTTCAAAGTCTCAGATCCAAGTGCTACTTTTCTTTGTTATACATACAGACCAGTAGAGCTACAGTCTCACCATGTTGACATGTTGGCATGTAAAGTCGTGTACTGGAGAAACTAATTGAATTTAACAGGTTACAAATGAATATTCTTATAGATTTTTAGCTCTTCTGAGCCAAAGGCTCAAAGAGCTAATGCTATGGCCATTTGTGCGGTGTGCGTAAACTTTTTAGAATATGGGCCATAACTCAAGAACCCCTTGTCCAATCAGTGCCAAATTTGTCTCAGGGTATCCTTGGCCCAAGGGCTACCATTTATACTAAAATAAGGGTTGGGACCCTGAAACAAGGGAAGATAATCAGGAAAACAAAACCAAAAGTACTGGTTGCTAAAAAATCTTCTTCTCCAGAACCACCTGGCAGATTTTCACCAAACTTACATACAAGGATCAGGATATGTCGAAGATTAAAATTTGCATGGGGAATTACCCTGGGGCAAAGGGTGTGGTCTCAAGGTCACTTCAAAGTTGACCTAAATTTACAATTAATAAAAAAGTGTATATTTTGCTTACTATAAGGACTAGGATCATCAAATCTTGTAAGTTGATGATCTTAGGACTTCACATCATGTTAACTCAAAAGTAGGTCACGGTGACCTACTTTTTAAATTTTGCGGGCATTTGTTTTCAAATTGATTTGAAGGCATATTTTGGACACTTTAAGGCCTATGATCATCAAACTTTGTCAATTGATGCATCTTGGGTCCTTGAACAACGTCAATTTAAAAGTAGGTCACCATGACCTACTTTTTGAACTTTATAACTAATCCTTTTTAAATCATTTAATCCCATTATTTCAGACACTGGGAGGTTTAGAATCATCAAATCTTGTAAGTTGATGCATCTTCGGACCTTAAAACATATTTACGAAAAAGTAGGTCACTGTGACCTACTTTTTGAATTTTGCTGACATTTGTTTTCAAATTGTTTAAAACGCATATTTTGATTACACTGTACCTTCAGACCTACGATCATCAAACTTGGTCAGTAGATGCATCTTGGGTCTTTAAAAAATGTCAATTAAAATGTAGGTCACGATGACCTTCTTTCTACATTTTATGGCTATATTTAAGTATCTTCGGTACTTATTGGCTTAGAATCATCAAAACTTTGTTAGTTGATGCATCTTGGGTTTTCGGAGAATGACGACCAAAAAGTAGGTCATGGTGACCTACTTTTGACATTTTGTGGCTATAATTAAGTATCTCTGGTACTTATTGACCTAGAATCATCAAACTTTGTCAGTTGATGCATCTTAGGTTTTCGGAGATTGTCGACCAAAAAGTAGGTCACAGTGACCTACTTTTGTCATTTTATGGCTATATTTAATTGTCTCAGGCACTTATCGGCTAAGAATCATCAAACTTTGTCAGTTGAGGCATCTTGGGTTTTCGGAGAATGTCGACCAAAAAGTAGGTCACGGTGACCTACTTTTGAATATCTCAGGTACTTATTAGCTTAGAATTATCAAATTTTTTCAGTTTAGGCACCTTGGGTTTTCAGAGAACTTCGACCAAAAGGTAGGTCACTGTGACCTACTTTTGACATTTGATGGCTATATTTAATTATATCTGGTACTTATTGGCTCGGAAATCATCAAACTTTGTCAGTTGAGGCATCTTAGGGTTTCATGGAATGTCGACCAAGAAGTAGGTCACTGTGACCTACTTTTGAATATCTCAGGCACTTATCGGCTAAGAATCATCAAACTTTGTCAGTTTAGGCATCTTGGGTTTTTGGAGAACGTCAACCAAAAAGTAGGTCGCTGTGACCTACTTTTGACATTTGATGGCTATATTTAATTATCTCTGGTACTTCTTGGCTTAGAATCGTCAAACTTTGTCAGATGATGCATCTTGGGTTTTCGGAAAATGTCAACCAAGAAGTAGGTCATGGTGACCTACTTTTGAATATCTCAGGTACTTATTTACTTAGAATCATCAGTCTTTGTCAATTAATGGATTTTGAGTCCTCAGAAAATTTCAATCAAAAGGTAGGTCACTGTGACCTACTTATGGTATTTTATAATTACATTATAATATCTTCAGTCTTAACTGGCTAAATATTATCAAACTTTGTCAGCTGATGCATTTTGGGTCTTATGATAATAGAGTTGGAGGCTTTTTATAGAAGTGATAGGTTGTACAATTTATCAGAAGAGCGATTCAAGGCCCTTGGGCCTCTTGTATTACATGAAATTTCATTTTGCAGCTGCAAAGAAGAAATTAGATATGAGGTATAATGTTAATGAGGACATAAATCAGAGAGTTTCTATTTGGAAAGGAGACATTACTACCCTAGAAATTGATGCCATTGTTAATGCTGCCAATAGCTCTCTTCTAGGTGGGGGTGGAGGTAAGTTTTCATACCCCTAAGAGTACCCCATTAGATGTTAATTCATGTAAAGAATTACTGTAAACCAACTTCTATTTGTATTTGATAAATATCCATGAGTTATGCAACCTTATAACTCGTGAATATTTAAGGAATAACTGTCTAATTTTTTTATTTCATGATGTGAACAATCGAGTGGCTTGCGTGATATATTTTGCATAAAATTATCATGCAAGCCAATCGATTGATCATGTTCATAAAATAAAAAATATCTTGACAGTTATTCCTTATATTTACATGTACATGCTCTTGATTGGATGCTAATCCATGTGCTACAAGCCCCGCTTCTATCTCTATCGCTTCATGTTACACCCCGCACATGAGTTTTTTTAACTGCGCCTTTTGATGAACCAGTACATTTATGGAGAAATAAAGTACATTAACTATTTGCAATTTTATCTCTTACAAAGACATTGGAAATGTAAATATTAAATGCTGTAAACCATTTATTCTGGTTTACATTTGTAGAGAATGTTTCCTATGTTGCAAAAATTGATTGTCACTGGATTTCAACATGCAAATACAAAATCATGAATAAACTAGAGCCGAGCTCGTTGCAAAGCAACGAGTAGGTCTTCCGTCGGAGCTACGGACAGAGAAATGACCTTGAGTCAAGGTCATGCCACGTTCTAATGTTAAAGCAATCTTTTAAGGGTAGATAACATCTTATTATGTTTTACTATTTAAAAAGGATAGTTAAGGAATGTTTGCGACCTTGACCTTGTCAAAATGACCTTGGGTCACACCATGACACACACTGATGATGAGCATATCCCATTTGTTTGCTACCGTATTGACAAAACCACACGTTTTTTCAAACAATGCATCCAGCTGAAATATCTTATCCTGAATGACCTTGAATCAAGGCCATAACACATTCTGCATGATTTAAGCCATACCTTTTTTTATAGGCCTTGTAACAGCTAATATACATGTGTAAAAAGTTATGGTCAATTTTATAAGCAATGTTTAAATTTTGGAAAAGCCGGTTAAACTTCAGGGTCAAAGTTTATGATATACTAGTATTTGAAATGATTTTATCACAGGTTACGTACATGTGATGTTTGTGTAATATGAAAGCCCTATCTCTCCTCATTAAAAAGTTATGATCAAGCCTCAAGGTCAAGTTGTCAAAAGTTAGTGTATTTGGAAAAGAGTTGTCTTAGGTAATACACAGGGATAAAATAAAAGCCCTATCTCTTCTCATTCAAAAGGTATGAGTATTGTTAATGTTTTTCAAAAGCAGGTCAAACTTCAAGGTCAAAGGATAAAAAAATCAGTGAATTTTGAAAGGTGTTGTTACAGTTAATACATTTTTATAAAATGGAAGCTTTCAAAAGTTATGGTCAATTTAAAGTAATGTTATTTTTTTTAAGTGGGTCAAGCTCCAAGATCAAGGTCACAGGGTCATAAATCACAGTATATTTGAAAATCAGATGTCACAAACAAAGATGACACAAGTCCTATTTCAACTCATTCAATGGTTATTATCAAGTTTAAAGTTCTCGTGACAGATGGACAGACTGGCTGACGAATAAGGTTTAACGTCCCTAAAAAATAAATACATGTAATTTGAACATGATAAATTGAGAAGAACGAATAATAAAAAATAATGGAAAAATATTAGAATATAAATCAGGTTTCCTACATGAGATTTCCTTAAAGACTTATTAATACATATTATTCAAGTACATGCAATACATGTACGTTGGAGGTTCAAGACGCGGAGACCGGTCATTTCGATGAGAACGTATACATCATACACAACTGTCTAGTTACGGGGTAGGTTGTGTCATAAAAGGATTAAATTCGCCTGATTCCACCTATGATTTTTTTTAAGTCTGTCTTTGCGCAGCTAGTGATTTATATTGTTTAAACAGAATTTAATTTTATGAAAAGAATTATTTTTAATGCTTATTTTTGACATATGCTTAAATTATTTACCTAATATCAGTTTGAGTTTAAATAGTAAAAAGGAATTTGTCACTTAGTATTTATCTAAGGAATTAGTGTCAATCCTCTACATCAAAGAGCGTCTGACTTGTATGTAAATTGCGTAAATGTGTTAATTAAAATTTGAGTGAATCCCGTATGTTGTGTGAGAGAGTCAGTTTTTAGATCCGCCGTGGACTATCCAGGACGTGAACATTAGATGTACTTAGCCTGGTTCCCTTCGTATTCTCCGCCACTCTCTACCATCGGCTCATACTGTCTGAGAGAGAACGAACGACAACTCTGCATAGGAGATTGATTCTCCACGTGGCTAGGCCTTGGCAAGGATGAGACAGGGGACCAGGCTAACATGTACTGGACATTCCGTCATCAAGAAAATATATATAGTTTTACTCTGCATGGACTATTCCGAGTTACCAAAACGTTTGTGTGTGTGTCAGTGTGTGAGCTAATCGGCACAAGTTTTAGAAATTAAAACGTTTACATATAGGAAAGTTTAGTGACGCATACTAATCTTTTTTTTTTTCATTTATTTGACACCTGCGAATAAAAAAATGTCGCGTATGACTATTGTTAACATTATAATAGGCTATGAATTTATCATGGATTTCAACACCAGTCCTGACCTGTACGTACCTGAACAAACTAACCAATTGACATTCTCGACTCTGAAGGAAAACATCGTATCATTTGAGGGAAGCGGGTTACGTATCGCGATGAGAAGAAATTTAATAATCTCTTTTAGTCCAATAAACACGAAAGAATGGCTTGAAATATTTGTTTGCAACTACATGGCTTTCTCAGAAACAATTTTGCATTTGTTAAATAAAAATTCTAATTATTCATTTTTTTCTCTCGTATTCTGAAAGCTCGGAATGTATATATTTTGGGGGCTCCTCCGTGTAAAACAGCATTTACTTAGTTACAATCATGTACCCGTAAAATCGTGTCATAGTGATATTCTTTTTATTCGAGGAAATAAAAGAAATACATTCGGTACAATACAATTATAAGTTATGTATCAATTCATGCAAAACTCAAAGTTGCTTCATTTAATTTTCGATTTTCATGAGAATTGGAAAATAATGTCACTTCCACTTACAATTTACTGTGCGCATTTGCCATGTTTATTTGTATTTGCTAATTTAAACAGCATCGCAAGTTTTTCTGATAAAGCAATTAGAATAACTTGATATAGGCCCGTATACATGTAACAATTGCAATTACTTCAAAGTGGAGGGGGGTACGGGGCCTAAAAAATCCTCGTACTACATGTGTACCTTTCCAAAAGTAGAATCATCCGTATAAATCAAAAACAAGTGGCAGTATTGATATCCCCAATTTTTTTAAGTAACGAGACTATAAAGTTCTTCGCAAGGGTAGAATATAACATTAATTTATGTACATGTGCAATTTAAATCACTATCAAAATTGGCAGAGTTATTGATAGGTCACCCTGTGTCACCCTTCAGTGTAACCGATGAACTCGTCCATAGATACCTCAGCAGATGAGAAAAGCGCGCGTAAACGCAGCACCTTTTATTTATTCGTCAAAGAATAGAATCCGACATTCAACACTTTTAAATCATGTTCAAGAAAACCTTTATATTTGTGTATATTCTTACGATTAGCGCAAATGACATATTTTCTTGATCTTAAATCTAAGACTCTAGTAAAAATCAAAGAGCGTTAATGTTGACCTCATGAATGTATACAGTTCACTGCGCAATCGATAAACGGGTTTCATAACCATGTGATAACTGTACACACACAACACGCACACTGTACACACAAAACTTTCAGGGTCCGAGGAAAATTCACGATGCATGAATTGAATGACAATGAATTATCTTAAGCTTGAATTTATTTTAAATAAATAATGTTACATTGAATATTAATACTTAAAAAGTATTTTTCCTCTCTCCCGTCTTGTTCTTTAAACTAAACACAAGGAGAAAGTTGTCTCTGAATAATCTGTATGACATCCAGCTCGAGAATACGTTAAAAACTTATTTAAACAAAGTTAAACATTCAATTTAGCTATAGGAATATTATTCTTGTCCAGTTTATTTCAGTTATATACGTGTTATACGCATACGCACATAGAATTCTTCTTCACTTGCCGTATAAAATCACTTACCTGTACATGGATTATAAAGTTTTCTGCTCATTTAATAACACATGACTCGAACAAAATAATGTTTTCATGAGATCAATAAGATGTTAAAGAACCCATTTCAAATCGATAACCATATCGAAATATTTACCATTTTTGAGTTATAGAGCAAAAACTTTCAAGGTCTTTCAAGGTCCCTAGATCCCTAATTTGAGGGGCCAGCCCCTTTTTAATGATGTCAAATGATAGATCTTAAAATTATGCACAATATTTGTTCAACATGTCTTAACAAATTATTTTTAGTTTAAAAGATACACTAGGAAATATATGTAAATTTTTGCGCTTTTAGGCATTCTCATTTTTGACCCCTATCTAGCACTGTTTTGAGGGCAGAAATCGAAAAAGAAAAAGCGATGTGCACAACTTCAATTCTTCTAGTATTTGAATTCAGTAGGATTTCTGCTCCAGCTTTTGTCGTTTCTGAGCCTTTGTCTGGAAACGAACAGTACCAAATTTTCATTTAAAGGGAAATAAATCGAAAGCGGAAGGGAATTTTTGAAATTTTTGAAAACATTCTAATTGAGTTTTGTAACGTTTAAAAACTCTGAAAATTTGAGCAAAATTCGTTAAGAAATGAGCAAGTTATGAGGTCTCAAAGTTGGCGTCTAGGAAAAAAAAAAAACAAAAAAAAGAATAATAGGGAATAATCTTAACCATCAGAATCGGTAGAAGGTCTTCCGTCTGAGCGGAAGACCTTAATGATGACACAAATAATAGTTGCAGGTGTACAGTTCATGTACTGGTATATAAATTTTAAAAATTCGGGCTTTATGGAATTTGATCTCATGACTAACACGTATTTATATCCCAATAGATGTTTTAAAATGATATCTTATTTCTTGAATTCAACACACCATGGATTGGTGCATCTACCACGGTACATTGAGCTAGTCTCAGGAAGACATGCTGCCTCATGCAGGATCTGTACATTGTGAAGCTGTGGACCTTATAAATGTACAGTTAATTCTCGATAAACCGCCACCTTTTGTAATTCAGAAATCATGGCGGTATAACGAATTTGGCGATGAATTGAATTTCCCATCTTTTAGGAAACAAGAGGTAGAGTTACCGTTCTTAGAAATACCATTTGGCGTTTCTATTCTTATAATTGCATGAACATGTATAAAAAACGAATTTCTAAATTTGAAAATACTTCAAGTAATTTTTTGTGCACAATTTCTTTTAAACAAAATGCGCAGTTATGAAATAAAGACAAGTACTTATGTATGAAAGTAAATCGGCACGTCTGATATTGAAAAAAAAAATGCTGGGTCGATCGTCGTGATATAATGCTGACAGTAGGTAGAATGATTTCTGGAATAAATTAATTGTTTATGGCATCATAGTTAATGATACGTTCACAATTTATACCGAATAATTATTTTTTAAGCAAACTTTGCATTGTTTAAAGCAGAGATCATCAAAATGATATAGTATTCGGCGTTTTTTTACAACTACCGCTTTCGTAGCGAAGCTGTGACTAAATGATTTTATTAAACAGAGAACAAAATCATTATAACAGTTCATATTAAAATTATTGTTTATTTAATTCTTATTTAATTACATGTACATTGGCTGCCTTTGCATGCTTTACAACAGAGATAGCGTCAACCAATTAGCCACGCTTCACTGACCGCAAGCATCTGTGGCGGTATATCGAGATAATTGACACTTAAAAACGGACGTTTGTTGTGAAAACAGGGTGGCGGATGGCGGTATGCGAATTTGGCGTTATAAAGAGAATTTTATATAGCAGGAAAAACGTTCTTGGGAAATCATGGCGGTATTGCGAAAATGGCGATGAATCGAATGGCGATAATTCGAGAATTGACTGTACATGTATTTGCAATGTACACTGTGTACACAGCGTGGTGGCATTTACTCTTGAGCTGTATTGTATTTGTGCTTAGTTCCATTTTAGCCCACCTCAACGAAGTTCAGGGAGGTTATGTGATACCGTCAGCGTCGGCGTCCTAGGTTGTTATTGGTGCAATTTTCTATTAAGTACTTCTATGCCCGACATTGATTAGACACTCATTGAAGATGCTTCTAGTGTGTTTGTTGTACCAGTCAAAGTTTCAGATGCTGCAATTCCAGCAAAGGAATGAGCAGGATAATTTTTTAGGTGCAGGTGAATGATTTTGGTGCAGGTTTAAGTTTTTGGTGCAGGTCCCATTTCCAAGTAACTACAGCAAAACTCATTTAGTACGAACACGGAAATTGCGAATTTACGGATATAGCGAACTCATCTTGTATCCTCAGCTATATA